CTAACCCTAACCTAACCTAACCTAACCTAACCTAACCTAACCTACCTAACCTAACCTACCTAACCTAACCTAACCTAACCTAACCTAACTAACCTAACTAACCTAACCTAACCTAACTACCTAACCTAACCAGCACAAATCGGCACATGAAAGACGGGTGCAACATTCCTCCACATTCATGGAGGTAGGCTGTTTTGTGGGTGGCACATGAACCATGGGCCTACCGACCAACGGCGTCTTTGGAGGCAAAACGAAACGCTGCCCCAACGATATGCAAAGGAGACTCATAATGCACTGCGTTATGGATTGCCCCTTGATGCAGTCAAGAGCGAGGTGAAGGGGGCAGAACAGAATTCGAATTCGAGTCGGAGATACATATTAGACGGGGAGGACACTTGTGTCAATCATGGATTTGACAGTAGGCTCAGCCACCGCATGTTGCAGTCCCGCGTTTGCCACAGGTTCCCTATCCCCATGATATCAGTCGTAGTTTGAAGATCCTGTATGAGACATGCAAAAATGTCCTCGCGAAGAAGCGAGCACGCGTGAATGGCCAGTTCATTAAAAGCTCCCGTGATACCAAGGTGAGTTCAGAGCAGCACAGAGAGCCATTGGGGGCACCAATTGGCGAGGGGAGGACTAGAGAGGGGACTGGATGTTTTGAGGAGAGAGTGAATGAAGGGCAAGAAAATAATGGGTGGAACTGGGATAAACACGAAATATGGTCGATCGAGGATGTGAGTCGAACCCCAAGGCGAGCAGTAGCTGCCAAGGATTCGAGCGAACTGGTGTGGTTTGCAAAAGGTTGGCGCGCAGAACGAAGCTGAGCTTGGGATCATTCATAGGTCGTCGCTGAGTCATGGCTGACCTTTGCTGGGTCGCCCCAACTCATTTCCTTACTCGTGGCTGGTGGTATAGTCATGGCACCTTTACGTCCGTATTTGTTTCGCTGTGCTATCATTATATGTGGTTCTTTGCCGCCTACGACTTTTCTTTCTACTTCTGTTTTCAAATAAGCTGTCGATGGCCTATTTTTCGCTCTCGCTGCTCACTTGTAGCTGACTTGCTTGCTTATGGCCGACATTTGCTTGATCGCGGCCGACCATCGCTAGGTCGCAGCTGGGTCACGGCTGACTCGCTTCGTCATGCCCAACTCTCCTGCATGGCAGCTTCCTTCTTTACTCCAGATTTATTAACGGAGCTGCAGTTGCTTCATTCGACCCAGGGTAATACAGGTAGATACTTGGACCACCCCTCTAAATCGGAGGCCAGCAGCCAAACCCATCAGGAGATCAAACTTGCGTGCCGAGTCGAGCAAGTCCTGCCCAGAGTTCCTCCAGTGCAAACTGGGAGAAGACCAGCAATATCAACCCTGATGAAATACAGACCCAGCACCCCATATGCTATGTAAGAACGCCGTGTTCAGCTATCCATAGCAGTTGGGTGTGTCCCGAGCCAACCGTGTGCAAGTAGGATCGTGGACAAAGACATACGAGTCGGTGTGCATGTCAATGTGTACGAGACGCAACAGTGATCGCACGGGTATAGGAATGACCGGTGATGCAAGAAGTAACAGCTGTCTACCCAAGGGGGGGAGTATGCATCTAAATGCGGAAAGGGTTCCAGTTCGATGGAACCTACGGGAGGAGCCAACCAATAAGGGGTGTAGCGGAAGCATGAGGAAAGCGGTTAGGTTTTCAATAAGGTCGGAGGGGTCGGAACTGCCGTATCGCAGGTATGCACCACTGCCCACCTGAATGAGGATGGAGCCGGTGTGCAAACCAAACCGGGATGAATGTCATATTTCTGAGTAGGACTTCCAACCGGTGCAAAAGCTATGTCGCCGATCCCGTAACGTACAAAACAGAGTGAATGATGGATTTCACGCTCTGTGATCATGTATGAGTAGCATTCTCAACGGTTGCATGTGTGACCATATGAACGCATGACCAACCGTGTATGATCGAATGTCCCCCTGAATCGTCTGTAGTGACGGATCGCAAACATCAAGTTGCATGCCGTCACGACGACAACAGTTGCAAACCCGGAGTACGCTGAGTATGCAGTCGCATCGTCAATTGGACCTTAATAAGAAGGTGCTCGGAGGCTCAAGAAGTCCAAATACTGGTAATGTGAAGGAAAGCGTCTAAATAGGGGCGAATGTTAAGGCTAGCTCCTAAAAACCGGTCGCAGGTTCCACATGACCAATTCCTGGCATGACCAAATATGACCATTTTCCTCGGAGAAAGCCTTGCTCCACATCTTTAACGGTCGCCCCTTTTATGGGAGCGACATTGTGGCGGAAGCCTGTCCTCATGAATGTTCATATATGGTCATGCCAGGAATCGGTCGTGTGGAACCTGTGACCGGTTTTTAGGAGCTAGCCTTAACAGTCGCCCCTATTGAGACGCTTTCCTTCGCATTACCAGTATTTGGTGATGGGGAACCTCTAACCCTCGTAGCCTTACCTCTGTCGGAGCACATTGGAGTTGATCTCTGCTGTTTCCCATGCAAGGGGCGACTGCCAAAAAGTGGAGCAAGATCGGTGGCCCATTTCATCGGGAAAGCGTTCTTCCACATCTTTGCTCTCATACAAGGGGCGACTGCCAACAATGTGGAGCAAGGCTTTCCACATGAAATGGGAGACCAACCTTGCTCCACATTGTTGGCAATCGTCCCTTGCATGGGAGCAACAGTGTGGAGGAAGGATTTAGCGGTGGAAACCAACTGGCAAGGGGCATCGAATCTAGCAACATTCAATGATGTTTTTCATAAAATTGATGCTCATGCTGAAGAAGCCTTCACACGAGTTCACTATGATGTCGGTGAAAAGACCGATGCATGCATTGGGTGAATACTGTAACAACGTCATAGCAACCTTGCGAAGATGGATCGCACATCCATCCTGCGTGGCTGATCTGCGATCACAGAAGTTGCTTCGTGATCAAGCAGCAATGCTCCTTGATTGCGACAGATTTTTATATGAACAGAGCACGGATATAGGGGCCAACCGGTTGAAAGGCAGCAATGGTGCCAGTTGAATGGAACTATATTATGCAACAATATGAAGGTAACCCTCTGCATAGGATCGACTGTCAATGCGTGCTCCCAAAACAAGGGGCAACCGACTTTCCTCCGCATTTTTGGCAGCTTCCTCTGTTATGCGAGCAAAAATGTGGAGGACGGCCCTCCAACGCTCCAACAGCCTAAGGCAACATTGGGGGGTGCGCAAATTGCGGGCTACATTCTGCGCCGCTGCTCTAGTGGTGCCAGCATTCGTTGTTGCCATTTCCTCCCAACGGCTCTACCTTACGATAGTCTATCTCTGTCCCGCCTCTACTCCGGACTTTGTCCGAAGTGGTCTTACTCTAGTTTCTCCTTCAACATCCGGAGGTCCGCCGGACTTGTCCTTAGTTCAGCCTCCAGAGTTCTCCGGACTTCACCGGACGTCTGTTCTAGTCTTCGGAAATTAGGGGCACATACTCCGGTAAGGGGCGCAGCGCACGAGCTGAAGCCAAGCCCTATGGATTTGACTCCCCTTTGAGCATGGTTCTTAAATGGGACGTCCATGCTGTCTTGTCACAGGGATGAAGAATGGCACCAGTGCTGGTCATGCCTGACTCCGTTGCAAAACTGTCTCCTCCATATGAGGAGTATGACACCGCGCTGCTTGGTGGCTTTGCCACGCTGACAGTACTACAAGTTGCAGTCGTGTGTGTATTTGCATTCAAATCAGCACTGGCATTGCTCCCGTTGTTAGCATTTCTGGTCGTCGGACAGGCATTGGACGAAGACGAATTAGAGGTCGCTTCCCCATTGACACTACCGACACCAGAAAACGGCAAAGCAGCGATCGAGCCAGCACTGACACCCGCCATGCTAGGTGGCACTCATTTTTGACCGAGATAGTCAGGGTGGTAAGGTCCGGGGAAGGGGTTATACACCGCATAGGTATCCCCCAGCCCACCAATCAACTCACTGCTTCCGGACTTCACCGGACATCTGTTCTAGTCTTCGGAAATTAGGGGCACATACTCTGGTAAGGGGCGCAGCGCACGAGCTGAAGCCAAGCCCTATGGATTTGACCCCCCTTTGAGCAGGGTTCTTAAATGGGACGTCCATGCTGCCTCGTCACGGGGACGAAGAATGGCACCAGTGCTGGTCGTGCCTGACTCCGTTGCGAAACTGTCTCCTCCATATGAGGAGTACGACACCGCGCTGCTCGGTGGCTTTGCCACGCTGACAGTACGACAAGTTGCACTCGTGTGTGTATTTGCATTCAAATCAGCACTGGCATTGCTCCCGTTGTTAGCATTTCTGGTCGTCGGACAGGCATTGGACGAAGACGAATTAGAGGTCGCTTCCCCATTGACACTACCGACACCAGAAAACGGCAAAGCAGCGATCGAGCCAGCACTGACACCCGCCATGCTAGGTGGCACCCATTTTTGATCGAGATAGTCAGGGTGGTAAGGTCCGGGGAATGGGTTATACACCGCATAGGTATCCCCCAGCCCACCAATCAACTCACTGCTTCCGGACTTCACCGGACATCTGTTCTAGTCTTCGGAAATTAGGGGCACATACTCTGGTAAGGGGCGCAGCGCACGAGCTGAAGCCAAGCCCTATGGATTTGACCCCCCTTTGAGCAGGGTTCTTAAATGGGACGTCCATGCTGCCTCGTCACGGGGACGAAGAATGGCACCAGTGCAGGTCGTGCCTGACTCCGTTGCAAAACTGTCTCCTCCATATGAGGAGTACGACACCCGCGCTGCTCGGTGGCTTTGCCACGCTGACAGTACGACAAGTTGCACTCGTGTGTGTATTTGCATTCAAATCAGCACTGGCATTGCTCCCGTTGTTAGCATTTCTGGTCGTCGGACAGGCATTGGACGAAGACGAATTAGAGGTCGCTTCCCCATTGACACTACCGACACCAGAAAACGGCAAAGCAGCGATCGAGACAGCACTGACACCCGCCATGCTAGGTGGCACCCATTTTTGATCGAGATAGTCAGGGTGGTAAGGTCCGTGGAAGGGGTTATACACCGCATAGATATCCCCCAGCCCACCAATCAATTCACTGCTCACTCCCATACCTGTACCAACCATCCCTGCGCCTGCGCCCATCTCCAAACTCATGCTGTGGGAGGCAAGATTCCTTTGCATCTCTTCGCGACGACTTGTTCCGGTCACACCCGGTAGAGCGGGACATAAGCTTGTGCGCTGGGTGATCCGCGTGAATCCACCAAGCGAGAACTGAACTTCGTTGGGTAAGCGTTCTGCCTGCGGCGCTTGGTAGACCATGATCAATCCTTCTACGAGGATCGTGCGACCATACCCAGAGTCCAGTGCTCCCTGCCACTCTCAGATATCTGGGCGATCTATATGAGGTTGTGGTCATTTGTCATATGCCCTCACATTTTCCACATGGCAAAAGCGCAACATAAAGCCGTACGAGGGATTCGATTTCATTTGGGTTGATGGCGAATAGGCGAGCGAGTCTGTGGAGAGATGAGCGGCGAGACATGATGTAGTGCACCCATGGACTTGTTCAGCCTGGGACGGATCAGCGAAGGGAAATACTTAGCAAAGCACAAAATTTGATGAGACGACTATGAAGCTACAAGCTAATACGGTATTTGGGAACAGCCCCAACGGCAACTCCGCCCAAGCCAAAAGGCCCAGTACGCCGCCCAGTAAAGGGCGAAGGGAGCGCCGCCACATCAGCCACAACGCCAGCAGAAGCCAGAATTGTCTCTCCTTGCGGAAGCATCATTGGCGGGTGCAAGAACTCCATCCGATGTCCATGCCCACGTGCATGATTGTCAGCGGTTCCAGCAGCATCAGGCAACATCGGAGGGTGCACGAAAGATTGCGTGCTGCGTTCAGCGCCCCGTTGCTAGAATGGTTCCAAAACGCATTGCTGCCGTTCCCTCTAAACACGGTATAAGGACTGAACAATGGAAGGTCCATGATGCTGCGCCGCGAAAAAGAAGAGGTGCGCCCACTCATCGCACCAGAACCAGTCGTAAAACTGTCTCCTCCGTAAGAGGAGTACGGAACTGCACTGCTAGGGGGTTCTGACACGCTGTCAGTGCTCATGCGGCGGCGCTTGGCAGTACGCCCAGTCGAATAAGAGTTGGACGTATGCTGCCATGACTGCACTCATGGAGACGCGTTAGACGACGACGCGTTGGAACCCGCTTCTCCATCGATACGCTGGGCGGTGCCCAATTATTGCAGAGGTAGTCCGGGTGGTATGGCTAAGGGAAAGTTCTATTAGACGAAACTCTGTCATTTCTGTATAAATCTCGAGATCCCCCTGCAAAATAGACACTGAAATTTGACCATCAGCAACACAGAGTGCATTGCGCTCATCAAGCGTGTCTCTGAGTGATAGACTAATATTGGTCGGCATGTGTATGCTACAAAATTGTAGGTAAGAGACCAACTATCAGTGAGACGC